CTCATGCTCTCTCTCTCTCTCAAATAAATAAAATCTTTAAAAAAATTTTTTTGAATCTTTTCTAATATGCAAGCCACACCTGGCTTCTGGGCACTTGACGTAATGAAGAAGGTGACTGAAGAACTGAGTTTTAAATTGTATTCAAGGGGCACCTGGGTGGCTCAGTCGGTTAAGCATCTGCCTTTGGCTCAGGTCATGATCCCAGGGTCCTGGGATCGAGCCCCGCATCAGGCTACCTGCTCCGTGGGAAGCCTGCTTCTCCCTCTCCCACTCCCCCTGCTTGTGTTGTCTCTCTCTCTGTCAAATAAATAAATAAAAAAAATCTTAAAAGATTTTATTTATTTATTTGAGAGAGAGAATGGTAGAGATAGAGAACATGAGAGGGGAGAGGGTCAGAGGGAGAAGCAGACTCCCTGCTGAGCAGGGAGCCCGATGCGGGGCTCGATCCCAGGACCCTGGGATCATGATCTGAGCCGAAGGCAGACGCTTAACCAACTGAGCCACCCAGGCGCCCTAAAAAAAAGGATTTTATTTATTTATTTGAGAGATACAGAGCACAAGGGGGTGGGGGTAGGGGGAGCAGGCAGAGGGAGAAGCTGACCAGCCAGACCGGGGTTTGATCCCAGGACCCTGGGATAGTGATCCTAGTGGAAGGCAGACACTTAACCGACTGAGCCACCTGGGAGCCCCAGAAACCTCACCCTCTTCATAGTGTGTCACCACTGTGGAGCTTGGGGGATAGTTTCCACGGGAGCCTGAGAGGTGAGGCACTGAACAAAGAATTCAATTGAAGGAACAGCAAAGTTGAATAGTCCCAAGGCCAGAAGAATCTACATGTTTCAGACGCAGCAAGGAAGGAGGAGAGGAAGAGCATAAAATGGAAGAGGCATCACAAGAAAGTAAGGCCCTTTAAATGTGGTCTGTGCACCAGTGCCTCATGCTACAGGATAAGTACACAAATTGAGAGGGACCGTTTGGAAACTTAGAAAGCAATTCTTTGTCGGTTGAATCTAAAAAAATTTATTTAAATGTCTGCTTCCTAAGACTTTGCTTTCTGAGAATTTATAAAATAACAGGGCGCCTGGGTGGCTCAGTCGGCTAAGCTGGTTATAAGCATCTGCCTTCAGCTCAGGTCATGATCTCAGGGTCCTGGGGTCAAGCCCTGCATCGGGCTCCCTGCTCGGTGGGAGGCCTGCTTCTCCCTCTCCCACTCCCCCTGCTTGTGTTCCCTCTCTCGCTGTGTCTCTGTCAAACAAATGAGTAAAATCTTAAAAATAAATAAATAAATAAATAAAATCTTTAAATAAAATCTTAAAAAAAAAAGTACCCAATTATAGACCTGCACCGTTCAGGGCCGTAGACGTTAGTTCCACGTAGCTGTGTAAATTTAAATCTAATAACATGAAACAAAGTTAAAAATTCAGGTCCTCAGTCTCACACACACTTGAAGTGCCAGCGGCCACAGAAAATCAGCAGAAGGGGTTTTTTTTCCCCCTTTAAAATTTTTATTGTTATGTTAATCACCATACATTACATCATTAGTTTTTGGTGTAGTGTTCCATGATATTCATTGTTTGAGCCTAACACCCAGTGCTCCACGCAGAACGAGCCCTCTTTTTTTTTTTTTAAATTTATTTATTTATTTGAGAGAGAATGAGAGATGGAGAGCACGAGAGGGAAGAGGGTCAGAGGGAGAAGCAGACTCCCCGCCGAGCAGGGAGCCCAATGCGGGACTCGATCCCGGGACTCCAGGATCATGACCTGAGCTGAAGGCAGTCACTTAACCAACTGAGCCACCCAGGCACCCAGAACGAGCCCTCTTTAATACCCATTACCAGGCTAACCCATCCCCCCACCCCCTAGCAGAAGGGTTTTTTATTTTGCTTTTTTGTTTGTTTGTTTTCACTAAACCATTGTCTGGGGATGAAACAGGACATAAAGGACAACAAACTTAATTAAACTTGAAAATAACTCGTGGTCAAGCCCGCCCCTCACAAAGATGGCGGCGCCGCTGGCTCACGCCCCTAAAACCTTCTGGCTGGCCGCCCCGCAAAAAGATGGCCGCCGCCACCACATCCCGTCTGAATTCTGCAGGAGCCCAGCCACGCGGTCTCCATACCCCACGTGATCTTAGCTCCGCCGACACATGCCCGCCTCCCTATAACTCTCGCGATAACGTAGGCGAGCTCAAGGCTGGCCTTGCCTTCCCAGCGTGAACTAGCGCACCCCAGCGCATTCATGGCGTGACTTTCGCGAGAAGGCGTCAGCCACTTCTCCACCCCCTGCCCTTGGTCCTGTGGCGCGTCCGTGCGGGGTTTGGGCCGCCCGTCAATCACAGTCGCTCCCGAGGCACCGCCCCAAGCCCTGCTCCCGCCCCCCTTCGTCACTTCCTCCCTAGCCCCTGTGCCGTCGATAAGGAAACCCGGACGCCCTTCCGGCTTTCCTTTTTTGAGGCGGCCGGGAAGATGGCGGACATTCAGGTGCGGGCTCGGGGTTGGCGCGGATGCTGCGGGGCCCACCCTCGGCGTCAGGGGCGCGTCCCGGAGAGAAGGACTCCGCGCCCCAGTCTGGGGGCTAATGCCAGACGGCCTCGATTTCCCAGGCATTAATTCGGGGGCGCGTGTCTTTGAATTAATCTAGATTAGCGCCTCCTAAGCCCTGGGGGCTCCCCGCGTGGGGTTTAGTGGAGGCTCAAGCCTTTTAGGAGTTATCTTCTTAAAACTTAACGGGGTGGTTTTCCGGAGGCCTTGGGCCATCGGGTTAATCCTGTGAGAACTGAGCCCTAAGGGCTAATCCAGGAAGCCCGTGGTTTGGGTATTTATTTCTGAAGTCGTATATATTATATAAGGAGAGAATCGTGGGTGGGTGTCCTTGTGGCTTGGAGAGTAATCGTTGCTGAAAGGTGTCCACGCTGTTAGAGGAATGATTGTGTGTGCCTGGGTTTTAAGGAATGAGTTCTGCAGGTGATGGGAGGTGTTTTAGAGCGTAAATGCTTAAGAAAACCCTGGTTCAGAGTTGAGTCTGAACTCAAGACTCGGGGTGAGTGTTTTAGATGGTAGTTATGGAGGCTTGGGAGGCTGCCGTTTGGGGAGTAAATGCTGGAGAGGATGGGATCTGGGGTTTCTGGGAAGGTTTCCAGGCCAGGTTGCCGGCTCCAGGCTCACCAGCTTTCTGCTCATCCACCTAGACTGAGCGCGCCTACCAAAAGCAGCCAACCATCTTTCAAAATAAGAAGAGGGTCCTGCTTGGAGAAACTGGCAAGGAGAAGCTCCCGCGATACTACAAAAATATCGGTCTGGGCTTCAAGACGCCCAAGGAGGTATGGGGGCTACTCTCAGAAGGAAGGAGACCCCTGTGTCCCTGCACGTGTGCGCACGCCGGATTACCTCGGCCACATCTGATTGGCTCCTCCAGGGCCTGGTGGGAAATGTAGTACCTGTCCCTGAGGCCACACCCCCGATTATTTCAGGAAGTGCTTGCTCCAAGGCTCACTCCGTTCTTTTCCTTTTTCAGGCCATTGAGGGCACCTACATTGACAAGAAATGCCCCTTTACTGGTAATGTCTCCATCCGAGGGCGGATTCTTTCTGGTGAGTGAGGGGGCTTGGGTTCAGATTTCTGGGTCTGAGGGCCGATGGGCTGGGGAATGCTCAGAATTCCTGGGTGAGGGGGCGCCTGGGTGGCTCAGTCGGTTAAGCAGCTGCCTTCAGCTCAGGTCTTGATCCCAGGGTCCTGGGATCGAGCCCCGCATCCGACTCTCTGTTCAGCGGGAAGCCTGCTTCTCCCTCTCCCTGTGCTTGTGTTCCTGCTTTCGCTGTCTCTCTCTCTCTGTTGAATAAATAAATAAAATCTTAAAAGAATTCCTGGGTGAGGAGGGGGTGGGCAGACTCCTGGTTCCAGGGGGCACTGGCAGATGATGTCTTTTCACAACGGTCTTCAGATGCCCACCACGGACGCTGCTGAGAAAGCCACTTGGCACAGCTGATGTCAGCAGCAGGGCTTGGGATCCTTCCTTGGCAGCTCCCAATTCCCAGCATGCTCTGGGCTGCGCAAAGCCCCCCTTCCCCAGGGGCTGACCTATGATCCATCCCCTCCCCCCAGGTGTGGTGACCAAGATGAAGATGCAGAGGACCATTGTCATCCGCCGAGACTACCTCCACTACATCCGAAAGTACAACCGCTTTGAGAAGCGCCACAAGAACATGTCTGTGCACCTGTCCCCCTGCTTCAGGTGAGCACGGTGGGCCCACAAGTTCACAGGCAGAGGAGGGGGTGGTCTGCCCCTGAGGCTGAGTGACATGGGGGACCTGGCCAGGGTTAACGGGGCGCCTTGGTTGCTGTGTGGGTAGTAAACTGTTGGAGACGGTGTGAGGAGACTGGTGGAACCAAGCAGATGTCCTCAGGAGCCTCCAGTCTGTGCAAAGTGGAGAGCATCGATGGAGGTCTTCTGCCCCGAGAGATCCCTGAGAGCGTTGGAGTGTTCTCTATGCGCCTTGGACAGTTTGTGGTCAATAAATAATGACCGGGGGCAGGTGGGACTGGAAACTGGGGCTTGGGTGGGGTTTGGTGGGGCCAGAGCAGAGAGGCCTCAGGCTCTAGTGGCGTGCATGGGACAGTCAGGCTCGTGACACAGCACCTGCCCACCTCCACAGGGATGTCCAGATCGGCGACATCGTCACGGTGGGTGAGTGCCGGCCCTTGAGCAAGACTGTGCGTTTCAACGTGCTCAAAGTCACAAAGGCTGCTGGCACCAAGAAACAGTTCCAGAAGTTCTGAGACGAGACATCTGTCCACACCCCTGAAGAAAATAAAGTTACTTTCCCAGCCAGGGGCCTGGCCCAGGGTATCTGCTTCTTTGCCAGAGGGAATGTTCCTGGGAATTGAATGGGGTTGATGCAGAAGATGGGGTTCTCTCTCATCCTCTGGACCCCCATGTAAGGGTGGGGCTGGGAGTCACGTCCTTCCTGTCCTCTCATTTTTGGGTGAAGATACGAACCTGTATTAAGATACTGCCCCCCTCTTTGGGTCTCCCTTTGGTCCATGTCACCTCTTGGTGTCGGAAAGTAAGCCCTTCTACCTGGCGTTGGGGCGTGCCCCCCACCCCCAGTCTCTGGGGAGGAAGTGAGTGAGGGTGTAGCCACCTGCGCGCGCTCAGCTCCGGGCTAGGCCCTCTGGCCTCCTTGGGAGGGGGAGGGGGAGGCAGCCGCCTCTGGACCTGGCTGGGGCGGGGAGGTGGTGAGGCAGGCGGGGGTGGATGGGCTTGCAGAGTCCTGTGCTGTCTGGTTCTGAACCACAGGGGTCTGGACTTCAACCTGGGCTTTCCTTTCTCCCTTGACAGTGGAGGGGTGGGGCAGGGAAGCCAGGCAGCTATCCCCTCCAGCTCCAGGCCCCATTGCCCCTTCCTGAGCGAGCACCATGCCCCTTTGCAGACGAGCAAACTCATCTGAGGGGGCAGGTTCTCCCCTCAGTGAGTAGCTGAGCTTCCTGTCTCACTCAGGTACTAGAAACTTCTTTGGCCTGAAAATCCAAGAAAGTTGGCTTTGAAGGCGCCTCTCATCTCAGGCCAAGCTGGAGCCAGCCTGGGACCCACCTCTGCAGCACCCGGTTGCAGGCTGCTCAGACATGGGTTAGGAAGCCCCTGGAAGGGAGACTGACCAGGTCGGGGTGGCCTTGGGGGAGGGGAGAAATGGGAACAGGGTCAGGGAAAGAGCTTTCTGACATGGCCAAATGGTGACCTGGACTGTCGGGAAAATGTGGGGAAGGGAGACAGGCTGACCCCAAGAGTGGAAGACATTCTGTCTAAGAAAAACGGGGCGGGGGGAAGGAGAGGGACCTTGAGGATCAGTTACAGAGAGAAGGACAGAGGGCTCAGCTGGACTCTGAGCAAGGTCGGAGACCACAGGTAGTAACAGACTCAGATTTCAGAGCAAGACCCGACGGACCTTGAGCAGGAAATCAAGTTCAAGATGATAAACCTGGGGGTCAGCAAGGCAGCAGGAAGGGGGGGCGCTGACTTCTAGAATCTGGAGAGACCCTCACCTGAGCCGCAGCAGGCGGAGATGGAGGCACAGAGGGAGGTGCTGGGGTCACCTGCTGACTTCACCCCTTGGGGCTGGTGCTGCTGGGGTCCCCAGGTCCCTGCCCCCCATGCCTGTACCAGGGACTGAGGCACAGCACTGGTACAAGGGTTGGGAGACAGGGCCGAGAGGAGAGGAGCTGCTGCCTCCAGGGGCGCTGCCTCTGGACCAGCTCTGCTGCTCCTTTTTACCCAGACCCAGTGAGGGCGGGGGTTCCTGCCAGAGGAAGTGGGGCCGCATCAAAGGGGGCAGGAAGGGGCAGGGACAGGTCAGAAGGGGGCACCGCCCCGGATTTTCAGCCTGCAAGCCCGCCCCACCCCGTGCTAGAGGGCAGGGACCCTGCAGAAGGGGACCGGGACCCAGAAAGGGCTCTGAGGTTGCTCCCAGAGCCCCCCCCACCACAGGTGTTTCCGTTTGGGGTGGGGCTGCCCTGTTGACAACAGCAGCCCAGCTCCCCTGTTCCCTCCCAGTCAGTGGTGGTTGGGGTGTCTCCTTGGCCCCCCACCGCATTAGGTTACCTAGTCACCGGTGGGGCATCTGCCTGGTATATGTTGGGGGACACCTCTGCTGGGCCTGGTGGGTCAGGTGGTAAAGACCAAGGAGAGACGGCCTGGGGTCACGCCACTTGTGCCTGGAGGGAGGTGACCACAGTGTCTATCCTTTTTAGAGTCAAGTGACAGCCAGAGACCATTCCTAGGTCCATCACAGCCTCAGCGCTTGCCCTCTGCCCCCCTCAGCGCTCTTCCCTCTTGGCTCGGCCAGCCAGCGCCCACCAGACCTGCTCCCTCCTCTGAGCCTTCGCACTGGCTGTGCCCACTGCCTGGAAGCTCTCAGCTCCGGTGTCCACCTGGCTCCCTCCTTCACTGCCTTCGGCTGTAATGCTCACCAGCCTCTTTCCGTCTGGCAAAACCTCCAGTCCTCCCAACCACCCCTCCTGGCTTTATTGCCCTACAGAGACAGGTGAAGCCCATTCCTTGTATGTTTATACGTTTATTGTACAAATCCCGAGTGATACAGCATATTTGTTTACCTACTAACCACTGGAATGTGAGCCCCAGCCCGTGGACAAGTTGTAAGCGTTCCATACGTGTTTAGTGGAGTAAAGAGATCCAGGTTAAATCCTCGCATTCTCACAGGCAGGCCTGAGCCCTGGGTCTCAAGGCTTGGAATAGCCAGAAGCAGGGACCATAAGCAGATGCCTCCAAGTGAAAACATGATGACCACAGGCTCTGTTTTGATTTCTAGCTCTGCTGCTCATTAGCAGGTCACCCCACCCCACCCCCGCCAACCGCAGAGCCTCGGGTTCCTAATCTGTAAAATGGGTTCTGGCCTCTCTCCCCCATTGGAGGATGAACCATGGTTACGTGTGTTAATGGAGTAGAACTAGTTCTAGTAAATGATACCTTCTGATGGAAGTAATTTTTCCAGAGCCCTGAGCCCATTAGAGAAAGGCCCTGAGGTAGCTTAGTGTGACATGCCCTGGGTCCCTTCAGGAAGGCCCAAGGACAAGAGTCTTTGCCAGGGGGCCCCAGAAGTGTTCATTATAGGGTTGTGGAACCAGCGTCTAATACAGCAAGCCCTGGCGAGCTGGCATGGGACCTTGAGTCTATTTTAGCATGCTTCTAGAATATTCTGTTGAATGCCTCTGTAGGAGGTCCCAGTGGCATTGTATTTTTCTCAGAGAAATTAGCTGCAGGCACAGTTCCATAGCAGGGTCCTAGATGTATGTCAGCAGGGGTCAGGCCTATTACATGAAAACAGGGCAGCTCATGGTGGTGTCATAATGTATCATGGCCCCGCACCTATCACAGCAGGCCTCTGGAATATTCTGATAACTACCCTGGCAATCATTGTTGCCTCCCCCGTGGTACTCTACTCTAGCAGGACTTACAGCAGCAGGAAGCTGAAATCATTTGACCGGCCCGGTCCGGAGGTCTGTGAGTGGAGTCTAAGAGAACTTGAATTTTAGTAGCTTCCCCGTGTGTTTGAGCCGCCCTGCTGCCACAGTTTGGCCCTGCCCCGAGCCCATCGTGGGAAATCCCTGGGAATCCAACATTCTGGTAGGTCCCAGCTCTATTATATGTTATCACAGAGAGCTACAGCATAGATTCTGCGAGAACGTTCTAACAAGGACACCAAAGCCATTCTAGAAGAGTTTCAGGGGCATATCAAACCAGCCCAGGGTCATTCGTGGTTTGCCATCATTCATCCTACCAGTATTTACTGTGCTGGCCCCTGGGGATGCAAGAGGGAGCAAGACAGATCCGGGCCCCGGTGTCTGAGATCCCTGGAACCCTAACAGCAGCAGGATTCGGGGGGGGGCACATTAAGGGGAACAAATGTTACTACTTTGTCCTACCATGTGCCCCATGCTCAACCCTTGACTCGTTGAAGCCTCCCCCTGAGGTCGGCAGGATCGTTATTCCCACTTTACAGATAAGGAAACCAGGGCTCAGAGAAGCAGAGGAAGAGGGAGGTTTAGTTTTGAACTCAGGTGTGATTGCCTCATGGAGGCAGTAGGGGGCGCAATGGTGCAGGTGCAGAGGGGAGGGGCAGATGTTAAGGCGTGGGGCCGATCAGAGTACACAGTTCCCAGGGCCAACGCGGCTTCATGGACGTGGTTCAGAAGGGACCCACGCTGGGTTCAATGGTTCAATGCTCTGCTCGAACTGTCTTGTGGTTGGAACAAGGGGCCCCACATTTTCATTTGCCCCAAGCCCCGCAAATTACGTAACTGGTCCTGCCATGGGCTTTATCTTCTTTATAGTGGGCCCCTGGGGAAATGATAGCAGGAGCCTAGGGGCTCTGGAGGGCACAGGCAGGATCGTTAGAGTTGGACCCTGGGACTATGAGAAGGGACAGCCAGCAGATGCTGTAAATAGCCCCTGAAGACATAACAGGACCCCAGTACACCTAGAAAGGACTCCCAGTGGGTACTAAGCGACCCTGAGGGCTTTCTCTGTTGTAGCAGGAAGGAGGGACATTATGGGGAATGTTCTGGCAGACTGGAGTCCTCATTGCCAAGCCCCGGGAGAGATCAGAAGGGGGATATTCTAATAGGAACAAGGAAGGGCGTCCTTCCTGACTGTGGTAGGCTGGATAGTGGTCCCCCAAAGGTGAATGCCCTAATCCCCCCAAACCTGCAAATATGTTACTTCCTATGATAAAAGGGATTTTGCAGATGTGATTAAATTCAGGATTTTGAGATGGGGAGATGATCTGGGATTATCCAGGGGACCAATGTAATCCTGAGCATATTTATAAGAGGGAGGCAGGGGCTGAGTGACTGGCTGGTTAGTTCAGCTGGGTAGAATATGACACTAACAACACCACCATTGTGGGTTTGCACCCCAAACAGGCTGAGAAAAGCATTACTTCTCATGTTTAATAAAAATTAATTAGGGGCACCTGGGTGGCTCAGTTGTTAGGTGGCTGCCTTCGGCTTGGGTCGTGATCCCAGGCTCCTGGGACTGAGCCCCGCATCGGGCTCCCTGCTCCGCGGGAAGCCTGCTTCTCCCTCTCCCACTCCCCCTGCTTGTGTTCCCTCTCTCGCTGTGTCTCTCTCTGTCAAATAAATAAATGAAATCTTTTTAAAAATTAATAAAAAAAATAAGAGGGAGGTGGGAAGATCAGAGCCAGAGAGAGATTTGAGGACGGATGGCCACACACACACACAGAGGTCAGAAAGGAGAGCAGTTGCTGTTCTGCTGGCTTTGAAGCTGGAGGAAGGGGCCATGAGCCAGAGAATGCGGGTAGCTTCT